AAAAAAACTTTGGCATGTCTGCGAGCCTAACATCAACGAGACAAAAATGGAAACATCACCGGGTTGAAACAAGAACAGCAGGCAGATCACTTGTACAACACGCGTTCAGACGGCGACATCGACAGCATCGAGGTCTAAACACCGACGCAACCTGTGCGTCAAACAGTCTAAAAGATGGAGGAAATGCGCGAGAGCAAATGTGGAGAGCCAGTGATAACGTTCCAGAGAGATGGTACACGTGTGCATGTTTCTAGATGTCTTCTAGACGTCTTCTAGACGTCTTCTAGACGTCTTAGAGGCCTATAGTCGAAGACAACCCACCCGGATGGCGTGGACAAAGACAAACTTCTCGGGGACGTGTCACCTCGGTGTCAGAATTCCGACCTTAACAGCTGTCTTCGTATAGGTTTAGAAGCTTACGTGGAGTCAAATAATGTGCTAAGGCTACACAAAAACAAGCCCTCTTTCAATTTTGGGGATAATACGGGCTCTTGTGTTTGGAAAGGAAGGTTTGCACGAGGTCAGCTAGGCTTACATGGATGCAAGTCCTCCGTGCCAGTAGCCTCTTCGAGCTCTGGGCAGGACGAAGATACACGGCCTCTACAAGACCTGAACGAAGTCAAATTTTAGGGCACGTTTAGAATACGTGCCAGCGTTCAGGTAAGAAGGCTTGCCTTCTTTTAAGCCTACACGATTAATCCAATTTGATCATGGTTCACAACAAAGACGAAAACAAAGCGTCATCGAGGTGTGAGATAATAATACAAGTGACCACGTTTTCCGCTCGGGAAACAAAGCCCGTCTTCGTCCGAGGATGTCTAGACTTACAGAAACGCAAGCCATGTTCTAGGCCTAAACGTAAACAAGTCGCTTCGGAGTCTAGGCTTAGACAGACAGGTCCTCTCTACGACCAAAACGAACGTCATGCAAGGTAAAAGGCGGTTCCACTTCGGCGTCAACATTAAGGAAAGTGGGCTTGTCTTCGTCTAGATGAAGACCAAACTGAGACTTCTAGTAGAAATGTTCACAACGACCTTAAATGTGCCTCCACTATTGTTCTGACGCATTTCCTTTACAAATAGCCGCATTCTAAGCAACACTTTCTCCTGCGCGGATAACTTGGAAGATTCGCGCGTAAATCTATATCGCAGCTGCATGCATTCACAAATTCATTTGAGCGCAGCCTGCCTCTTATGTACATCAACAGCTAAGTGGGAGCTAGCCGCTGGGCTTGAGATGCGTGTGCGAAAAACAGCAACTTTCGTATATCATTTTAGAGCTGTGAACATAATAAGCTCGTAGCGCAGAATTCTACGCACCGCTAGACACTCTGAAATTGCGCATTTGTTATTCCATGAAAGCGCTCAAACGAAAACGTGATGATAAAAACGCCCTTTTCACCACCTCTATCAACTTTCCCAAACACTCTTATTTCTTTCTCATCCTTTGGAACTCCGTCACGAATAACACTGCGAAGAAAACACGCAGCAAGTTATACCTACAAATACAGTCTATTAACATCAAGATACAACTATCCGTGCTATCAGCACACTGTAACGTCTCTGCATGCTTCCTGCGTGGAAGTCTCAAAACACAATAGGAACACATTGCACGTTGTGGTTAATCGGTTTGGCCAAGTTCTCGCGTTTAGAAATCGTCTCCTACTTGCACAAATCGAATTCGACATGTTTACTTTCAGAAGGGTTTTACCGACAACACTGCTCGATCCATGTCGGGATGTTTAACGGCATTGGCATTTGAAGTGGACCGTCGCAGTCCAAGTCACTCATACACACACCTTGATCGGTTAAATACACGCAGCATTGTGGAAGTCGGAGTAGCCATCTAATTCTAAACGAGTTCACAGCGTTGTTAGGAAGCGTATAGGCCGGATCAACTCTTGACCTGCAGATGTAACCAGGCCTAGGATACTCTTAGCATCGCTGTCCTCTACGATATGCCCGTCAATATGTCTCTACGTTATATGCCTCTACGATATGCCTGTACAAATACATTTCTTTCTTTATGTAAGCTGTCATCGACCTTAATGCACAAAAAAAACACTGCGCAAATCAGACGCACATTATTTTCTGAAATGCTGAAGTCTGTCTGCATTATTCGGGAAATCAGTGTAAGACATTGTCAAAATTTTTCTGCGACAGCATTTGATCGTAGGTGTCCCAACGTTCGTATCGATCATCGTTGGGCGTATGAACTGAGTTCCCTGATGCAGTTAATGCGCGTGGCTATTATTCATAGGCGAAAAAAGAGCTTCAGTACGGGGTTGAAGCGACAAGAGCGCCGTCGCCGCATTCGTGATCACGTGATAAGGTCTGTAATGCAAATACGATGACGAAGCAGAATCCCTCGGTGCTTTAATTTCATTCCTACACCCTATCAAGTGGCTCGTGCGCTTTTTTTGTCCGGCTGTCCTTCAATAAGGGCATGCGCCCTTCATTCGCATCGTATAGCTTTGGTCAATCGGTAAGTCTTACAGAATTGACTGACGCAACTTCCGGCTTCCCTAATGCCACGCGATTTAACCAAGACACGGCATATAAGGTCGCGAAGGAGTGAGGTTAAAGTAGCGTAACGCGGGCTGACAAATAATACAAGAAAGTTATGGACGTACTTGAGCTGTAGCGCCAAGAAGCCAAGACAGCGCGGCGCCATCTTTGGCCCTTGTCGAACGTCTATCGGTTGAACCTTCGCCTCTTTCCCGCCTTTTCGAAACCCGTGGTTGCTCGCACCTCTAAAAGATGCCTGTGCGGTAAAACTTTTCATTACTTCACTATACACATGGTATAAGCTTTCTATAAGGAAATATATAGAGTACTTTTTTTTCTTCTTCCCTAAAGACGGCCCAACGTGAAATTTCAAGCCTATACACTCTGGTCTTACGGAAAAGAGAGGGGCATGGGAGTCTGAGAGGAAGGGGGTGGGGGAGAGATGAGGGTGCGCGCGACAATTTCACACATTGGAATGCCTAAAAAATCTCTACAGAGGCCAACGTGGTCTTGAGGTACAAAGATCAAACTTTGTCCACAGACCGGAACAACTGCAACAAGACGTAAAAAGAAAAAAATATACAGACACACGCACACACGCATGCATGGTGGCCTACTGCCGAGACCGGCGGGTGAGATTCTTGACAAGGAAAGCAACGACATATCAGCATTGAAGCACCCTGGCACCTCCAAGTTTTGTATTGAATATTCCTCTCCTTTCTCTCTCTCATGCTTTGGCTTGAGCCTTAAGACGCCGGGTATACGCGTTTCTCCCACGAGGAGCTCAGTCCCTCTAATTCGGTGCAGAGCCTAGAAAACTGGCATGGGAGCGGATAGTTGTCATCGCAAAGCTCTGCAGACCACCTCGTCATCGTATACACATCGTAAACTGCGTATTTCCCCGCTTGGAGTGAGTGAAGTAACGTTCGGCAAAGCGCACGTTTCACTAGAGCGAAGGTCATACCGTGCATTCAAGGACGATGCGACGTGAAAATAATGTTCTGATTAGGTAATGGTCACTTCTTTATCGACGTCATAACGTCAAGCCAAATGCACTTGACGTTATGGTCAGAGGGTCACTTCTTTATCGACGTCATAACGTCAAGCCAAATGCACTTGACGTTATGGTCAGAGGCATGCGCACCATCCTTCATAGGTGGGGGAGAAGGAGAGGGGCAAAGTTTTATCTTGGAGCTTCCACCCTGCCCCTCCCGACCACCTCCTGCTGATACCCTTATGATTAGATCGCAGTACGAAGGGGGAGGCTCCCCCCCTCTCTCTCTCCACTCTCCTTGTTGTGCGCACACCTATGGTTATGCTCTTAAAATTATTGACCACGACGTCTGTATTTGGAACCAGTTCGCAACTTCGGTGACACATAGAGTTAGCCAGTTCACTTCCTCCTCACTCCATACCATCCCCTGAATTGTAGGGTAGCAAAGCAGGCCTTCTCTTCCAATGAAAAAAAAAATGCCCGAGTCTCTTCGTTCTTTCGCCTTTCTCTCTTCACGTGAAAGAGGTACGCTACATAATTTCGCTTACAAACTATTCTGTTCATTCTGGGTTGAAGATCTCGCAGTCGTGTGGCTTTGAGGACTAGGAACTTCTTCCTATCGCGTTCAAAACGGCACTGTCTGCTCTGGCTCTGCACGGAACTAGCAAGACGAGAGTACCATACTTTAATGCGTTTTCCGCGCTCTGAGGAGAGAGAAAAAATAAACATGTTTGCCTAACTCTCGTGCTAACACGGGTACTCATTTCCAGTAAGAAGAGCTAGACCTTCGAAATCACTTGCAATGAAGCGCGTCTTCACTTTATGCGCAGGTCTCTGCGACACTAAAAAAAAAATTATCTAAACTTTGGCAGAACTGTGCCGCATACGAGCACTGATACTAGCACCAAGCTGAAAAGTAAGAAAAGGGAGGCTTTTTTTTTGTGTCGGGGCCTCAACTGCCCGCAGAACGCTTTCTGAAACAACGGCGTCAAACTCGAGTAGTCAACCGACACTTTTCTAACTGTTAGCATCTCTAGAGACGCATAGGTCTCTCATTCAACAATTACAGCCTCGGAACGCACGTTTAGCAGCGCAGCCCTGGAGCAGTGTTCGGACAGTTAGCAATGGAACAGCGATAATGACTGAACACTATATATCCTCGGTGTTGAAAAGGGAGGGCACAATACTGTACAAAGGTTCTGTATAACGATATACCCGAGCCGCTAAAAACGGGAGAATTAATTTAGGTTGCTTTTGACGTAGGTGATTGAAAGGAAGCGGAATTTTTCGATATTTAAGGACGTTGGCGCGATATTGTGAAATAATCGCCTTCTGGCGCCAGCGCCAAGTTCAAAATAAATGATGAATCACTCCTTCTCCTTATTTAGGTGCATACCGAGACACGTGTATACAGCAAATTTCTTTATGTAGATACTTTTTTTTCTAGAAGTGTCACCGTCGTACAAAGGGCACCACGATCTGCTGAGAATCTACCTTTCTTTTTTCATTTTCTTGTGCTAGGCTCTGCAGTTTTGGTACGTGCCGGGACAAACGGTGTCACCAGAGTCGGAGACAAAAGAGCGTTCCAAATTTCCCGCTAGGGGTAGAAGGGCCCATGTTCCATGGCATCATGCAAAAATGTGGATCGCTGCTTACTGTTGCTATGTTACACCACACTGCTGCTGCCCACCATCACGTTTCTTGCTGAAGCGCAAAATATAAGCCATGTCGGCCGGAGCTCCTGTTCGCTAAATCCTCAGAGCACGGAGAATGCATGCCAGCAGGAATAATAAAACAAGATAAGAGACACACGGGCCGACCCAACAGCCTTGCGTCAGAATGCGCTGAAGTTCCCGGCTCGGAGGAAGAGTCTGTCTTTGGAAGAATAAAAGTAGCCGCCGGCAACGGTTTGCACGGCGCACGTTGACTCAAGGAAGGCTTTCGTTTTTTCAAGGGCGACTCGAGAGGATGCAGATCGACCCCTCCTAAGCCGAGAGCATCGGGGAAGAAGCGGATTCGGCAGTTTATGCTACGGACACATCACGCACAGACACACACCACGCCATCTCGCGCGCGCGCACTCACAAAAAAAAAAAGAAAAGAAAGAAAAACCCAGGCACACTAGAACGCGCACAGCGCCAAAGAAAAATAATCTGTTTTTGCACCGCACCATCGCAGGTCCCTGTTTCTTTGTTTTGTAACTCCGTTTTGCTAGTTGTCCGTCTTTGTTTTCTTTCTGTCAATACCTCGCACACACTTATGCCGATGGCGTGCACATAGGACAGTGGAACTCCGACCAGCGAGTTCGCACGTGAGGATGCAAAGATGGCGACTGGCGAAGAAGAAAGATCCTTCATTTCTTCTCGCACTTCGAGTTTCAGTTGTGTGTCCTGCGCACCTCGCTTGGCGTGTTGGCGGTGGGTCAGACGTTGAGGGAGTAGTACACAACACCCTGAGGTGGGGGCGGTGGCGCCGCTTCCGTACCGGCCGGTCCCATCGAAGGAGGCGTCGCCGAAGGTGCGGAAACGGGCCCGCTCTTTCGGCTGTTGTGGCGGCTGACCCAGGTAACCCTGCTCGGACGACACCTTGGGCGACGAGCAGGCGCCTTCGGGCACTCCCCGCTCGTCCTTGGCCGCGGACAGGGATGACGACGACGGAGGCACGGGCGATGGCGCCGGCTGAAAGGCTCGTCGCGACCGCGTCAGCGTCGCAATGTCCCCGGCCGAGCCGTAGTTGCGGCCGGTGTCCTCCTCGGCGACACGAGGCAGCAGCATGACCTTGACCTGCTGCGGCGTTTTGTGGTTGGGCGGCGGCAGCTCAACAGGGTGCGACCAGGACAGGTGGCTTCCCGGCATGTTCATGGCCGGGTGGTGCATCATCTGCTGCACGTCCTTCATCAGCTCGGCGCTCGAGCCAAACCGCGACCGAATGCCGCGCACGGACGGTCTCCTGGCGAACCCGAACGACGGGTCTTCGTCCTCTTCACTGAGGCTGTACCGCTTGCGGATGCGTTCCGTTCGCTCCATGTCCTGCTGGACGAAGCGTTCCAGCTCGTCAGGAGGCGCGTCCTTGGCAATGTTGTTGCCGCTGACGCCGCCGCTCCCTTGAGGGGCGGGACGCCGCACGGGCGGAGGCGGCGGTTGCGCACGCTGGCTCGCGACACCAGTGTTCTGCTGCGGATGGTTTTCGCCTGGTACGCGCCGGACCATGCGGTAGTCCCGGGCTGCCACCGGAAGCATTGTTAGGGACCCTCGACAGGCGTCGCTCAGCTGCGAGAAGGAGGCCGGTCGCGGTTGGAAAGTTCCGTTGAGGCCCCCGCGGGGGTAACCAGGGCAGGGTCCGGCCGGCATCCTGTATGAAGCCCGGGTCTGGAGGTGGCCTCCGTGCCACGGGTGGAGGTGGGGGCGGGCCCTGATGATGGTGGTGGTGGTCTGCGGCTGCCTCGGAGTCGTCGCTGCAACCGTCGTCCTCATCGTCGTCGAGCGACGTGAGCCACCGGAGCTTCTCGACGAGAGACACGTCGTTGCTGGACGTGGGAGACTTGGCCAGGTTGGTGGGCGTCCGCTTGCGAACGTCCGTGACACGCGTCAGGCTGCGGCGCATTGCGGTCCGCTCGATGGTGCGCCGTACCTGCAGGTTCGAGTGCGGCCCATAGTCGAGCAGGGCGTCGAGGTCGTCGTTGTAGATGTCGTCTTCGATGGCGACGTGACCACGGCCTCCGCAGCCTCCTCCGCCGCTGCTGCTACCGGAGGAACCTGTGGGTGACTCGGTCCTGTCTTCGCTGTTGGTCGTCGACTCGGAAGAACGCATCGAGCCGTCACTGTCCTGAGACGCCGAGCTGGACACCGAGCTTGTGTCGGAAGGGCTCTTGTCGCCGATAATGAGGCAGCTTGTGCCGGAACCCACCGATGCCACGGTGCTCGTTCGCCTCTTCTGCCTGCGAGGCATCGGAAAAAAAGGGCGCATTACATAAAGAGGGAGCGAGTAAAAAAACTGACACACAACGGACATAATCAATGAAAAAGCTAGTTGAAACAATGTCACTTTCCAATGAGGAAAATGAGGAGGTTACGACAAGGAAAAGCAGATAAAGACTAAAAAAGTGTTTTGTTTCATCTGCGAAAGAACGACGAAGTAAAGTCCTTAGACCTCAGCAGGTACGTGGACTCCTACGAGCCCGATTGCCCTAGATTGCGGAGATCCTTTCTGTACTTTACAACACATACTCTGGCGGTGTCCCTAGCTACGGCAAAACAATCGTATCCCCAAGAAGCAAAGTGAGAGGAAGCGCTAAAGAGCTCCGACTTCACCGTTCAGCTACGGGCTGTCCAGAGGGCTTACAAGCGGTAGTCAGGCACCACCAGCCCGTTCTGACGTGGGAGCTGCCCACGGCGACTCCTCCCTACATGAGAGGACCATCCTAGTCGCCCATCAGGACCATAATAAAGTTCATTGTCTGTCTGTCTGTCTGTCTGTCTGTCTGTCTGTCTGTCTGTCCGTCCGTCCGTCCGTCCGTCCGTCCGTCCGTCCGTCCGTCCGTCCGTCCGTCCGTCCGTCCGTCCGTCTGTCTGTCTGTCTGTCTGTCTGTCTGTCTGTCTGTCTGTCTGTCTGTCTGTCTGTCTGTCTGTCTGTCTGTCTGTCTGTCTGTCTGTCTGTCTGTCCGTCTGTCCGTCCGTCCGTCCGTCCGTCCGTCCGTCCGTCCGTCCGTCTATCTATCTATCTATCTATCTATCTATCTATCTATCTATCTATCTATCTATCTATCTATCTATCTATCTATCTATCTATCTATCTATCTGTAAGTAAACGAATCTGTCTTAATTCACGCACCATCTGTCAAAAATAATAAGTGAGGCTGTGGTCACGATAACCCCCGAAGGGCCGTGCTCAAAATTGTTCGCTGCGTCGCGTGCTGAAACGCGAGATCCGAATGAGTGCGCCGTCTCTATCGGCGCACGCTAGTTGCCCCAGGGCTGGACGGGTGGCGCAGAGGGACGACGTGCTCTCGCTCTGCCTACGGGGCTCCAGCGCCGGCTCTCGCGATCTGGGAGGTAATGCGCCCGTAGTGAACGCCGGTGTAAGACGTACGCCGACGAGTCCACGATATGTTGCGTGCGCGTCTCCGTTTCCTCAGCCCGTCCCTCGTGATCGCGGTTTCCGCAGTCGAAGAGGCAGCGTCGAACAAACTGGTGCTTTGGTGCATGACGTTTTACTGATCTTCAACTGCTGCGCATGTGTTGCTGATTAGCGAGATCTATTTGTAGGGTTATACATCATTAGATGTCAAAGACAAGTGTATAACATCACAGTGGCGTTGGCGTGAAAGCAGCCGTAACGATTATCTATGCGGGGTTACTTGTGAACACCAGCACACGGTTATGAGGCAGGCTGTAGGAGTAAGGGAGGAAGGAAAACAGGAGGAAAAGAACGGCAGGGAGGTTAACCAGCCTATAGACAGCCGGTTTGCTACTCTGCGCATGGGAAGGAGAGAGATGAAAGATGAAGAGTCGAGAGGGAAGAGAGATAAACACAGCACATTCGGCAGCACACGCGCGCAAATTGGGCTACGACGTCCCTATTGGAAACGCCTTACGGCGTCCCTATTGGAACGCCGTAAGGCGTTTTCTTGAGCTTTCGTGCATTTCGTTCCTTTTTCCTTTTGCTGATCGTGATAAGCCGTGTGAGGGTTGTGGAAACCGCCTCCATCGAAACGCAACCACCGCGGCCGGAATCGAACCTGCGACCTTTCGTGTCAGCAACGGAACAACGTAACCGCTACACCAGCTCGTCGGACGGAATCTTAGCAGCCGTCTCTGAACCGCATGAAGATTATGACAGCATAATGTACTACTACATTCTACATGGATATATCTTTGCGAAGATCACGTCCGTTGGGAAAACATAAACAATAGCACTGACTAATAGTTTAAATGTCAATGAAAATATCGGAAAAGTGACCAGCATGGCAGCCATAAGCGACGACTCGTGGACTACGCATTTTAGATTTCACCGAACTGTTCGTATATGCAAGCAGTGGTCCTCCAGTATTCTATATAATGCCGAGAATTCGTTATTGTTAGCTGGCAACGACTGTTAAAACGACGCGCGTTAAACCGTAATATACTGACATTGCGTCTCCGTCCAAGGTTCTTATAGGATGCAATAGTCCTGGTCAAAGTACACTGAGAGAAAGAGAGAAAAATGTACGAACACACCACTTTGTATATCCTGTACATTAAAAAAAGTCGGACGCCAGAAGTCAGCATTGTCATTTGCTTTACAGGAGAACGAAAGGTCCAGTTGTAGAAAGGCTGAAGTCAGCCTGGGGTATATGTTGCTCTATCCTGCCACATTCCATTGGGAAACGGGGAAAATATTCGACAAATGACTATGGCAAGATGAGGAGGTCGGCATATACAGTTCCACCCTGATGTATACCTTTTTCTAGAGCCATTCATTCACCACACTGGCTTTAAGGAAAGTTATCGCCGCTCTTTTAACCACGGCTTCATTGTAAGCGTCAAGCCAGTGACTTTGCACAAACTCATCTGATAATTATCTTTTATCAACGCACACGATTCAACATCTGTAATTCTCATGCATTCTCCGAATAGCTCGTGCGACTAATGGAACCAACAGAAGTCCCGGAATGTATAAGGGACATAACTTTAGTCTTCAGCTGTAGTATTGTGTAATTAATTACTGTTTTGTACACACAGTTACTTTAATTATGATATATGTGTAAACATATTAAAGCGCACGAAAAAACAGCCTGTCGCAGACAGGGACCGTACTTACAACGAAGCGTGAGATCCACGAACACATAAACACATAATTTGCTACGTCCTGCACATTAAGACATCTGTCCGTTTGAGCCCCACACCGGAGACAGGCTGTATTATCTTCCACTTTCATTGCTTTATCTCCTGATCACACTTACTACACTTCACCTAAAGACTACAATTAATGTCTTCTAAGCTTTATTTAGCATCACTGACTGTTGGTTTGCGCCTAACAAACAAGAAAGAGCCATTGATTCGCCCCCCTCAGTTCGTACGTTCAGCTGATGCTATACAAAAAACTTTTTTTGTCAGTGAGCAAGATATTATGGAAGAATATTTGGCTGACAAATCAGCTATCGACTAAACGCGCTTTTGATGCCGGCTATACACAGGCGCAATGTTCTCTCGCTCGAGCTTACAAACCAGCAAGTCCAAGCCCGTCGCGGATCCTTCGGTACAAAAGACCGCGGCGGTAGACCAATGAAAAATAAAAAAAAAACCAAAGAGGCAACGAGGATCGACCCAACGAATTCTCGCTCTGTGTACGGATCGATAGATTTTCGCACCCTCGGCCGCTTCCGCAGCCGCCACGAACAAGCATCTGCAGCGCGCCTTTCGGTTTAGCTGCGTTTCTTCGTGAAACGTAAGCTGAATCGCCTATCGTGTTTTGAACGTGTCGTATAGACGCCACGTTTCCGCCTGGCAAGTTACTACCGGTGTAAGTCGCGGGGCATGTCGTTGACTGTCTTTCGAAGGGAGACATCATGAGTTTGTATGATCCAGTCAAATAAGTCGTCGAGTTTTTTTTTTTAAAGCTGGCCTATATTTAGATACAACTGGCGGACGCACGCTAAGGCGCATGCACTCAGAGACGCACTCAAAGGCGGACGCACGCAAGCCTTCGCCAATAGGCGCGCTGTAGAGACTGACGTCACGGCCGGATGGTCGGAAAGCCCACCTTTGTGAAGATTGCCGGGTGCATGACTGCGACTACTTCTTTGCTCATGGAGACGACTGGCTACCTACACTTCATACGTCATCCGGGCGAGACCTCTACAGCTTGTTATCCTTTTATTTTTATCTCATTCTCATGAAGACGCTCTATTCTGGACGAAAAATACCATCTGTCCACCTCATGCTCGAGTGACAACGCTTCTTTCTTCTGACTTTCCGCTTTGAATAGCTTAACTTCGCGCCATCGAAACAGTTGTCGGTAAGACGTGACCAAAATATGAAACCTTTAGTTGCATGACCCTGCTTTGAACGAACATTAAGAAAGAATCTCCCTTAGTCCGTGAGGCACTGGCTCGTTTGACAGTTAACGGGAACGTCGAAGCTCTCAGCACTTCCTGCCTGAGCCATACCCCGAAAGAGTTCCTCGACCTGTTTCATTCGGAGCATTACTATCAAAAGGTCCTGTTATACATCAAAAACTCTCGCTGGGACGCCTAGAAAGAAAGGTTCATTAAGCGCGGCATCCAAGTGTGGCAGCATTTGAATTCTTGGGCCTGAGAATTTTTCGGTCAGCATGTGCAACTTGCAGTGAATCAGGCCATGTCTCACTTTTTAGGTGTAAACGGGTGTCCTTTTTAGGCGCAAATATTTTGTTTCTTATTGTCAGCTGAAACAACGCTAATGCTGCCGATATTGCCACACGGCGTAGAGAATGTAGACCACGGAAAGACGGAACAAACCTTGAAGCTTTCGTAGAGTAACGGCCGCTGGAACAATAGAGCTTTATCAAATACATTGTTTTAATGCTAACGTCATTTTACAACAGAGTATTCAAAGAGAGCACTCGTACCGTATGCGTGCTATTTCCGTCAGTTAACGGGTGCTCACGAGAGAATGGCGTACGACGCATATGCAGTGGCGACTAAAGCTAACGTAAAAGTTTGCGTGCACAAAACACACTGATCACCTTGAGAGTCATCTGAAAATCAAGTCGGCACGAGGTTTCAATAGAAGAAGTGGCGTTACATGATAAAGGAAATATGTCATCCTTGATGTGGTCGGTGATTGTTACTTAGCTTTTTATAGCTACCAGAGGCACTGAAAAGTTCTTTAAGGAATGAGCACGCTCGTTACTCGGGCCATTATAGAGGCAGTGCAGAACAGTATATAGCCGATGTTGCCACTAACAATTCGGCTTCAT